TGTATTGCACTCTTTAAAAGGTTTTGTTTGTTCTGATAAGCAGTACAATAGCTGCTGGAGTCAACTAGTCTTTATAAAGGCAATCATTATCAGAAAATCTTGCTCTGTTAGCTTTTAAAAAGAAGAATTATCAGTTTGGGCACTCGACCACATGTTCTTATGTAAACTATGACGTAATAAATTGTCATAAAACGTCATTTTGGTATGCCATTGGGTTTATAGGGAGAACCCGGTTCTCAGGGTTCCCAAGGGCTGAGAGACCCAAGACCTGAGATCCTGTGATGGCATTGGGCGACTAAGAACCTGTGAAAGTTTCATCCTTATCCCACATTCCTATAAAAAGTTATTCCAGTTTTTCTTGGGTCAAACTCAGTTGGGATATAGTATAAGAGGTTATGAATACCATAAGATTTGATTTGAAAGAATATTAAAATTTAAAATTGTTGCTGTACATTAGGGTTAATGTGATGAAGGATTGAGCCCCTTTATGTTATTCATTCTCAAGTTGTTTACGCTAAGTTTGAATGTTATTTTTATTATGTTAAAAGCAAAACAAGCCATGTATATTCACATACATGTAATAAGATAAACAGCTACTTGCTATATGCTACATTAACTGCCAGCTAAGAATAACTTGAGTAAACAATAAGCATGTTCACTACCGGGACTATTCACACACAGTGTAGTACATGTAGCTGCTTTATGAAGAATGAGGTGGGCAATATGATACCAAAATACTCATTTATTTAATAATGCCAAACAGGAGTCCTGTACCAAATTGATACCAAATCTGAGTATTGAGCTACATGTAGTAGAGTTTTGACCATGCCTTACCATGCCTACTTTGACGCCTAATAAATGTAGATGACCACACTCTTTTGTAATCACAAAAATGGCGGCTCATTTCTTGTTAATAACTAATTTTCTACCATGCCACCTTGCGATTGACCAATCAGATTGCAGTATTGGAGGTCAATTATTTTTCATATTAACCTAGCTCGTAAAAATATAAACCTATCTCGTTAAATAATTAATTGATTGGCAGTTTGGTACTCTACGCTTATGCTCTAATTAGTCCATTTGTCAAGTTTGGTTGATTCTTTACTGCCTAGCCTGTTAGATACGTTGTATGTATGTCAACTGTGGTCTTATTATCAGCAGCTGGTAGTTGTTTTTCAAGTGTCATGGTAGAAGTTGGTTATACACCTCGGTATCGGTTTCTATGGTATTTATTAACCTCGCGACTGCGTCGCTCGGTTAATAAATACCATAGAAACCTCTACCTCGGTGTATAACCTATACATAACACATTGACGCATAAGCAACTCATTCAGTACTCAATACTGAGACTCAGATTATGGAATCGCTCACCTGTAGTTGCAGTGCTGTCATTTCTATGCAATTATTGAACTTGTTATTGATATTGTATTATTATTGTTATTCAGGGATCAATGACACAAGAGCCACGTCCATCCCTTACATCAACGACCACACAAGAAACAACTGTTGAGGACAGCATATCATCAACAACATCAAATGATATTCATGATAATGAGTACACTACTGATCCTAATGCTGCTGACACTATTACTGTTACTGTTACTGATACTGATACTGCTGATAATGAGGCTACTAATAACACTGCTACTGCTGCTATGGCTACTGTTAACGATACTCCTACTTATGCTGTTGTTGCTAAAAGGACTGATACTACTGCTATACCTGCTGTTGATCAACGTGTTGATACAGTTACTGGAGATATTAATAAGGTAATGTTGATAATTTTGAGGCATCTATTATCTAATTAGTATTGATTATAGAGAGGAGATGTTAATCTTTATTATGAGAATAATATTAGCACCTTTGTTATACATTACATTATGATAAACATATTTATAGGCTGTTAATGTGCCAAATAGTCCTCCTCCTCCTTCCAATGATGAATGTAATAATTTGGATGTCGTTGCTAATCCTGTTGAACCTGGAGCTCTTATTACTAGATCTAGGCACTCCTAGCTTCAATGTTACTATTATTGCAAATGGTACTACTGATGATTGCAGTGATAGTTGTTGTGCTAATATCACAATTTCTATACAACTGGTAAGTATAATAAAAAACAGAATTTAATGTACATAAGAACTGTAGGCATTGAACACTTCAGACCCACAGTATACAAATCTAAGCTATAATATATCATATGATTCCATCACTGTTAATAATGAATCAGTGGTAGCAAATGAAGGAGAATGGAACAAGAATATACAGCTACCTCGTAATGAAGCACACTACATTAATTCTGAACAGGCAAAAAGTATGTAATAAAATCTGCTTTATATGTAGCGTTTTTATATCGAAAATTTTGTAGATCAATGTAGAATGATGATTTCTGAATGTAATTCTACTTGCTCTAATCCAATCGAAAAATCAAATCAAGGCTATATTGTAGCAATTTCTATATTAATTATAATACTACTAGTGCTAGTTTTAATAATAGCTTGCTGCCTTTTTAAAATATTTTTTCCTGCTAAGTTTAAT